GGCTTCTCTTTTTTCCTCCAGCTGCTGCTTTTTCTCTCTTGTCTAAAGAACAAAGCGACTTCATTTAGCACCCAAACAAAGACAGATGGATTGGTAAATTATGTTTTTTTCAGACCCAAATCATCCCATTGTACAGTGCGTATATAACGATAGTGATCAGATGTCCTGTTTGGCCCTGGTCCAGTTCCATTAAAATCGGGACATCTAGTCCCTCAATACAATGAAAGTGATATTATATTGACTTTACTAAATAAAACATGCAGTACCTGCATTCGACGTGCCAGCTTCATCAGATGAACTATCATTTTCAGTCAATTTCACCTCAGCGGAAGCACCTTCATTTGGGACAACATTTGTCTGAGGGAGGAGGCAGACAGATGAGCACTGATGTATCCTTAGCTTACATTTTGCACAGCTTCTTGGGGTCTATGATGCAGATACTACTACTGTTCAAAAGTTTGGGGTCTGTAAGATTTTTATAATTTTGAAAGCAGTCTCATGTTCAGCCAGGCTGCAATTATTTGATAAAAAATAAAAATTAAAACAGCAATATTGTGAAATATTATTACTATTTAAAATAGCTATTTTCCATCATAATATATTTTAAAACGTAATAAATTTTTGTGCTTCAGAAAAGATTCCAATATGCTGATTTGCTGCTCAAGAAATATTTATTATTATCAGAAATGCATTTTGTTTAAAATTTTTGTGGAAACCATGATACATTTTTTTAGGATTCTTTGACGCATAATAAATATGCACAGTCAATCACTCTGGATATAAAATGATGCGATAAAAAGAGGAATGATATAACAACACACAGACCTGATGGTCTTGCTGAGGATGCCTGCAGCTCCTGCTGAGTTTATGTTGGATGAAAGCATCCAGAGCGGAGAACTCCTCCAGACATCTCCCGCATTTATGAATATCCTCATCTGAGAGGGAACACACAAATATTGCTCTCCCTTCAGTTTGACAGATCAGGCATACTGCAAAAGCATCCGCGTAACGCGAGACAAAATGAAACAAACTAATATTTACCAATCTAAAATAATCACATTTTCCCA